CACACACATACACACACACACAAACATACACACACACACAAACATACACACACACACAAACATACATACACACACACACACAAACATACATACACACACTGACAGGGTCGTTACAATATGCGTTTTTGTTGTCTGTTGCAACGCTGTAGCTCTGCACGGCAAAAACGCATAATAATTGGCCAATGCGCGGGCTGCCTGTGCGAAGATGCGTTTTTTGCATAGTTCCCGCAGTTTTTGTCGATACGTGCACCGTTTTTTTCTGTAAATGCTTCTAGCTAAACAAATTAAGACTGGCACCAGAACTGTCAGGAAGCACCCCCTTAAAATTTCAGCTTTCTAGCTTTCCTGGCTCCTGAGTTAGCAACTTACTGGAAGAGGAATTTCACGGACCCGCACGTGGGTATCATGCATACCAGGGGGCTGGGTTTGAGCTGATTAATGCTCACTTTGACGGGGAACATCCCCTTAAGATTTCAGCATTTTAGCATCTCTGATCCCCGAGTTATGAACTTACCAGAAAAAAATTTGGCGGGCTCATACGCGGGCACCACGCTTGCCCGGGAGCTGGGTTTGAACTCATTCACACCTACATGGACGGAGAACATCCCCTTAAAATTCCAGCCCCCAAGTACTTCTGGTTCCCGAGTTAACAGCTTACCCGTAAAAAAACTTTGGCATGCTCTTACGTGGTTACCACGCGGGTAATGGCGCCCATTTTGGGGATTTGGGCCCGTACGTGCATGTAGATTAAGCCCCTAAAGTTTCAGCCCTGTAGGTTTTGTAGGTCTTGAGATGAAAAAGCGTGACAGATGCACACACGGACACACAGACACACACTCAGAGACACACACTCGTCAATATGCGTTTTCTACGTTGCATGGCTGCAAAAAACGCATAATAAAGAATAAAATAAGAATAAATAGTTGGCCAACCCACGAGCTGCCCGTTTGAAGATGCGTTTTTTGCATAGCTCTCCGCAGATTTTTGTCGCTAACGGCATTGGTTTTTCTGGCAGATGCCTCTAGCTAAAAGAATTTCAGACTGGCCGCCAGGACTGTCAGGAAACATCCCTTCAAAATCCCAGTCTTCTAGCTTTTCACTTTCCCGAGTTAGCAACTTATCCGAAAGAAACTTTCAAGGGCCTCTACGTAGGTATCACGCTTACCCGCGCAAGGTTTGAACTCGTTAATACTTGCTTGGACGGGGAACATTGCCGTAGGATTTCAGCGTTGTAGTTTCTCAGATCCTCGAACTTATCCGAAAAAAATTTTGGCGGACCTGTGCGCGGGTATCACGCTTACCCGGGGGATGGGTATGAATGCATCAATACCTAGTTGGACGGGGAAGATTACCGTAGGATTTCAGCGTTTTAGCTTCTCAGATCCCCGAGTTATGAGCTTACCTGAAAAAAATTTTGTCGGGCCCGTACGCGAGTACCATGCGGGTTTTGACACCCATTTTGGGGATTGGGGCCGGCACGTGCATGCAGATTAAGTTCGCGAAATTTCAGCCCGCAGCTTTTATAGGTCCAGAGATGAAAGTGCGTGACAGACGCACATACAGACACACAGACACACGGACACACAGACGACCCCTCGTCAATATGCGTTTTTGCATTGCATAGCTGCAAAAAACGCATAAAAATTATAATGGGAATGTTTAATAAAAATTAATATTTTCGTTTAATGAAATCCTGATTTTCCAGTTCGAATACGAGCGTTACCAATCACAACGAGTGGAGAATTATACAGCGACTCTATCAATTTTGCTCTTGTGGTATGTAGTTCTAAATGTGTATGTGTGTGCGGAAAAATTTTTCACAATTTTTATAAATTGACTGACGGGTTCGGTTCAATGTCGAATAGTGTTGCGTTCAAATTGAAATCACTAATTCTTAATTCCTCTGCTCAAAAAACCAAGTCGTTTACGATTCAGAGAATTGCAGACCCCTACAGAGGGTGATTTGGGCAAAAATTCATGGTTTACTGGGTGCAGGATTTTCATCTTCGTTGTTTTTCAGAATCCAGATGGATTTGAGCTTGTCCGTAAAACAGTCGCATATCCTGGTAACCGATTCTATGCTGTTGAATTTCTTTTACCGGAGCACTTGAATTTCGGAGAATGGCAAATTGTTGCTGTTGTGAATCATCATAAGCAAACTATCAAACGGCATACCTACTCGGTTACGTTTAATGTGCAAAATTACGGTATGTTTTTGATGGTATTTAATTGATTATCTGTTTTGTTTAGCAAATTGAGTTTCTGAATGGCATTATTAGTAGAATTACATGTCTAATGAAATATATCGAAATCTACAGAAAAATTAGAGCTTTCTAGGTTCTTTATCTTGTGTGAATTTGTGGTTGTAAAACTATGAATTTACAGAAGTGCCGATATTTCGTGTTCATGTATTGGCCAAAGAAACAAGTTATGCGGACTTATATGAACTGGATGTTATTGCCAGGCAAGTTCCACGCTTTTTTTGTTATCTTGATTTCTGTAACTGCGGTATGTTGTTACTGTAGGCTATTACAGTACTCAGCGTCCTAATACCACTGTAGCCTCTAGTGGCAGCTACATTAATTTGGTATTCCTGCTACGAGCAATTCAGAAGAATAACAGTCTGTGCTACTGGCGAGGAACATCTGGAAAGCAACTAGAAGGATGTAACGCGCGAAGGAGGGACGGAGGCCTGTGCGACTGTAGGAAGTTCTCCCGCTGTGGGGTTGCGGGCGGAGGGAAAGGGAGGGAGGGCACTTGCCCAAACCAATAAACAATTTTTTATTAAAAAAACAAAAGCACACTTAGAAACAAAAACTGCCAGGAATCACGGGAGATCCGACAGCAGCTCCAAGCTGCCGCCGCACAATTGTTTTGTACACAAAAACAATCACCACTTCATTTCTAACCACTTCACTACCTATCATGGAGGGGAATCTTGTGTAAGGAGACGGGACAACTGGGGAAGGCGAAGGAGTTTAGCAGGCGGCTTCATTTCCTACACCTCGTTCCTTTTGCAACAACGGAACATCCAAAATGTTACAGTAACTGCCGTTTTATTGAATATTTGTGATTGTGTACATGAATTAAATCATATGCATTGACCCCTCTCCTTTCCGCTCCTTGTAAAAAAGCGTAAATTCGGAAGTTCCCTTATGCCGACTTTTTCGAGTTTTGGGACGAAATTCGTGTCGAAAAGAACAGAAAGTACCACAATTAAAAATTATCTTCATTTTGCTTAGAACTTGAAGTTTTAGGCACGCTCATGGACGCGCAGTATCAGGACGATTATCTATTCGATGTGAATGCAGTACCCTCTCCTCCAGTAATCCTAACCAGTCGTCGATTCGAACAAATTCCGAAACAGGATTATCGCTTTGCATATTGGTTTCAGCCGAGGTTAGCTTTTAATCGGCCAAATTTAATTTAACACACTGCAAATCGGGCCTCTGGAAACCACAAAACTCCGTGACTGTAGAGCTGTGATCTGGTTTAGCCACTCCCTTTAGCTTTCCAGCCAATTGCGGTTCTATTAACAAGGGAAGGTGTTAATAAAAGTCTTAAGTAACAGTTTTAAATTTTTTTAAAAAAAATTTCCAAAAGTGCATCGCGTTGCTCGAATTTTCCAACGATTTGGTTTCTACTACTGCACTACTTCCATTTGGCCCCTCCAGTCTCCCCATAATCCGTGATTTAACCTAGACATATACTGGATTAGACCTAGATGGTGACATTTCCAGGATTTTTTTTCCGAACTTTAGTGATGTGGTTTCGGAAAAATCAAATAATGCAGGGAGAGGAGGGGGCGAGACGGGAGGGGAGG